GAATACACACCAAACATTGTACAATATCATCAGGTTTCCTATTCCTTCCCTTAGTACCTGATACTTGAACCCAATTTTGAAGACATTCTAAGCACAAAATTTCCAGTGAGAAATTTGGATAAACATTTACAAAATATTCCCTGAATGTGTACTAGATAAAAGTTAGGAGCCAATGACAGCTCTAGAATGGGGTTTTCTTAGAGAGAGGTTTTGTTACAATGGATTTTTTGTGATAGGACTTCTGTACTCTGTGTAGATCATTTAAGAATAACCAACTTATACAGAGAGTTCCAGTTCTTGTAATTGAGCTCTATTATCATGAAGTTAAAAATCAAACAAGAAGAAAGGGCAATGGGCTTGGAATAAAAAAAAAAATATGTTTCTCCCGTTCAGTGCAAGTCACTTTCTGAATATTTGTTTTCTCATTTATAAAGTGAGAATACTACCTTAAAGAGCAATAATTAAGTTAAATGAGATAATATAAGGGACAATACAGTACTGGTTTTCAAAGTAAGCATTCAATAAATGCTTGTTAATATGGATCTGTTATATTCAACAGAAGAAAAACTATATACCAGTGCAGCCTTATGGAAAGATTAAAGCCTGAGGCTTATGCTACTTTATATGGCTGAGCTAAAACTCCTTACTCTGTCCACGTCTGCTTTTGGATAAGAACCAATAACTTCCAAACAATGATACAACCTAAGGGGAATTCAAGGAAGAACTCCATCTTCCCCATCTTCAGTGAGTGGTGTTGGCAGTGTGTGTGTGTGTGTGTGTGTGTGTGTGTGTGTGTTGGGTGGAGGGAAGTAGTGGGATAGGAGAAAGGCCAGAAAAGGAGCTGGAGATGTCCTTTTTCTTTCAGTAACTGGTTAAGTCAGATACCCAACTTTGTGTATAAAACTACTAGCTTGAGTCCGAAAAGTAGAAAACACATTTCCAGTAAATTTACAATATTAATTTTGAGCTGAGGGAGTAAATTCCAAATTCAAACCAGATTCAGAAATTATGACCTCAGTTTTTCCAGAGTTTCTACTGATTCGGATTGTTATAGATTGGCCAGGGGTAGACTGTATTAGGGGAAAAATAAGAGAGAAAAATAGAATTCACAAGAATACGTAAACTCAGTGAATGAAGTTTCTTGTGGTAGCATTTGCTGCTAATAAATGAGACTCAAGCAAAAGAGTATAGTGTTTTGCTAAGGAAGAGTGAGGGGGTGAGTCTTAGGGTTTTGCAAGGAGAATTACCAAGGGAGTCAATCATTTTTGGCTGTAAGGTCATAGTGGGCGTATAGTTTTTCAGGGCAGTACATGAATGATGTTAAACTAAAGTAGTAGAGCTGGTGTTTACAGAATAAACTAGAAGGCGATTTTGAAAGTCAGTCAGGCCAGGTGTGGTGGCTCATGCCTGTGATCCCAGCACTTTGGGAGGCCAAGGCAGGCAGATCACCTGAGGTCAGGATTTTGAGACCAGCCTGGCCAACATGGTGAAACCCAGCCTGGCCAACGTGGTGAAACCCATCTCTACTGAAAATACAAAAATTAGCTGGGTGTGGTGGTGCGTGCCTGTAATCCCAGCTACTTGGGAGGCTGAGGCGGGAGAATCACTTGAACTCAGGAGGCAGAGGTTGCAGTGAGCCGAGAGCACACCACTGCACTCCAGCCTGGGTGACAGAGCAAGAATCCATCTCAAAAAAAAGGGCCGGGCGCGGTGGCTCAAGCCTGTAATCCCAGCACTTTGGGAGGCCAAGACGGGCGGATCACGAGGTCAGGAGTTCGAGACCATCCTGGCTAACACGGTGAAACCCCGTCTCTACTAAAAAATACAAAAAGCTAGCCGGGCGAGGTGGCTGGTGCCTGTAGTCCCAGCTACTCGGGAGGCTGAGGCAGGAGAATGGCGTAAACCCGGGAGGCGGAGCTTGCAGTGAGCTGAGATCCGGCCACCACACTCCAGCCCAGGCAACAGGCGAGACTCCGTCTCAAAAAAAAAAAAAAAAAAAAAGCCAATCAATATTTATATATTGAATATCAACTCTGTACTCAGTAGCCTCCCAGTGTTCAGGGGATACAATGATACAGAGTAGAGCAGCAGCACCTAGTGTGTCTAGTTTAGGGAGAAATAACCTGTGAGCCTAGATGAAGACAGAAGAAAAAGATGGAAGGGTTAAGAAATCTTGAATGACTGACATTTGAGTAAAAAAAAAAAGTAAGGGTCGAGTTCTAAAATAGAGAATAGAAATAGAATTTGCTACCAAAGAAGGGGGCTCTTGCTAAAAAAGTAATAATAATAACGAAGTGTCAGGTGTGCCAGGGACCTGATTGAAGGGCTCACTTGGGCTTTGAACTTGGCAAAGGGTAGAGGTGAAGCATTCTCAAATCCTTCCCTTGCCTCCTGCACCCAGGGTTCAAGGTGTGAAGGAAGAAAAGCCAGGGCATGTGCATCCTTGACAGACATCTGAAATAGATTATCATCTTGCTGGGAGTTGGAGGGTTTTTTCTCACCGCCCCTCTGTTCATCCTCTGAGCTGTAATTGCCAAAATAGACAGATTATCACAAACTCAGCCTATGCAAGTATCTTTTAATGCTCATTTGCTGACTTTAATGAGTTCTAGAACCAATTTGTGATCTTACAATCGCTCAGGTTTATCACCAAAAGAAAGCACTGTAAGTCTAGTGCAAGAGGTCAGCTCAGCAGAACTCAGCAGTGAGATATGGATATGAAAATGGATTCAAATGAATTCTTGTGGCCATTGTAAGGCCTCGCTGTTCTCTAATATCATTAAACAGAAAAACATTAGGTGCTGGATGTCCTGATGAACCAGTTCTTGTACAATACCTGTCTTACAAACTACACTCGAGTATCCTTTTGTTCTCTCTTCGAATTTCACAGCTTCCTCTACTCTGCCTAAAAAGGAAAACTCATATCTTTAAGCTGTTACGATAAAACTATTGGCAGCCTGTAAAGTGAGAACAGAGCCTTGCCTTAATTTATTGCACTACACAGATTTATTACACATCAGGGTAATAATAACAACACCGTGACTTTGCTGCCTGATAGTCTCCCCTTTTGCTCCGGTAGGAGTGTGGTGGTGGGAGCTTGGAGGGCCCTGTAGACTCGCTGTATGGTGCTAAGCACTGCTGGGCACACTCTTGGCTCAGTGCCATGAAATGATGTGGTACTACTGGGCCGTGCAGTGCCAAGATATATGCAAAGCTGGTGAGGAGATGTAATATTTGGACAGAAAATACTGGAAGCCATTTGCCAGGTCTATATGAAAATAGTGTTTCCACAGTTGCTATTTGCCAGGAGAACAAGCATTCTCCAGCTACCTTCTTCTCATAAAAGGTTCTTCGTGCTCTGAGAATGAAGGCATTTTTTTAAAAAAAAGGTTCCTCATCCTGAAATATGAGGAGAACCCAGTTTTAGAACCATAGAGGTAAGGAATTCCCTTAGGGGGCATTTTACCTGTCTTTAGGCAACACCACACCTAGAAGAATTCAGGACTATAAAAGTTAAATCGATTCAGAGAGACTTTCTGAGAAACAGTTAACAAAATTCAGGGTTAAAAATGATCACCTTTCAGGTCAAGTGTCTCCTTCCATGACAGCCTTGCTTCTGGGCTGCTTCTCTGTCTATTCTTATGGCTCCTGTGTCCTGGGGTGCCTGATCAATCTTGGTTGCTTCCAGGGAAATTGCGCAGAGGCACTTGGGCCCTCAGCTTGCCCCTGGTGACGACAGTGACATCCTCACAGAAGACAGCATCCATCAGAGGTGCCCTCCTGCTGCTCAGCTTGCTCTGGAAGCCTCTCATTAGAGTTTCTAATTTTTAAGATAATGGGAACTAAATGGGGATTATTTTGATTTCCTCTTACCAGCCAACACTTTTGTAGCTGAAGCCTGCTGCCCCCAGCTGCACTGCCTGAACAAATTGCATCTGAGCAAGCCAAAGCTGCGGCCCAGGAGACTGCTGACATGACTTCAGAAAGGCACAGCCCAATCCTATTGCCTAATTTTCTTTGTTCCGAGGCCAAGACTTTGGCCTGTAACAGTGTTTGGATTTCTGGCCTTTTGGGTGACCACTTTAGTTCCTCCTTTCTTCACCTACCAAGAGAGAAACATCTTTAACAAATCATCAGTAAATTAATCCATGAATTCCAAGCAGTTGAGAAGCTCAGGCTACTGCTGCTTCTTCCATACCATGCTTGATAAAAATGAAAAATTCAATCCGCCCATAGTCCATCACCTGGTTGTACTTAACACAGAGATTGACTCTCTGAATATAGTACAAAGACCAAAATGATTGGAAAATTATGTATGCTTTACCTCTCAGAAGAATCAGATGACCTCAGTAAATATTTTTTGAGACCATTAGGCCCTGGGGATCCAAAGACATTGTCCCTGTACTCTCCAAAAGCTTTAGTTTTCTTCCCAATAAACACATGTACGTTTATTTGGTTTTGCATTGGCAAGTGGCAATCGGTCAGGTAAATTGGCTCTTGGAAAATTTTATCCTGCCAAAGTGATTCACAAGCCACAAAAATGTGACAACTACCATCCTTAGAATACCAGTCATGCCCTACACTCCACAGAATAGGCTGGGTTTGGGTCTCCTCTTCCTCTATTGGCTGTTGCCTCTTACAATTACTAGGCAAATTCTGAGTCTTGGAAACCACTTCAGTCCTGTAGTCACTAACTGCTGCCTGGCAAGAAACCATGTCGGTGTCCTGTCTGAGTCCAATGGGGAATTATCACTACTAACTAGAAGCTCTGGCAGTAGATCTTCCTCTCCCAAATGACCTCAAAACAATCTAACAGCAGGGAACCCAGTGAGGCAGAGTGGTGGCTGAAACGTATAAATGGAGATAAACATGGTCCCAGGTGCCATCAGAGAGTCAACAGACCCCAGGCTTCAAAGCACATTGCTGATTACTCTTGATGGAGGGCCCACAACTGTTTTAATCATGCAATTATTTTGAGGATGAATTTATGAGAAAGGAGATTCACCTCCCAGCCATTTTGCAGGGTGGCTATCAATAGATTGGTCTAAAAGGAAGAACAAAGAAAAGGGCACCAAAGAAGATAAATGAAAATACAAGGTAAGAAGGGGGTAGAAGCTGTAGCATTGTAAACAAATCCAAGCCAAAATTGTCAGAGGTGGGGAACTGTTTTTAAAAATTATTTTGAGGATGATGATGACTTTTTTGTTTTGTTTTTATAGTTTAAGGGCATAAGCTGAACTGTGGACATCCTGCCACTGGGAATTAAGTTAAAGTAGAAAAAAACACAGAATGTAATGGGGACTCCACTCACAAGAAGAATTTGGATCAAAGCGTGGCAGTGAGGGGAAGCATTGAGCAGGTGAAAGTGAAGCAGAGGCTTTAGTCCTGCAAGAAACAGTCGCCTGACTTTAAAGCATGCCTGTGTCACTGACAGCATTTAGCAGTGCACAGTGTGCAGAAACTTGGCTCGTCAGCCCTCCTGATGCTGACAGATAGGGCAGCTTCACTGTGGAGCACTACACAAGCTCATTTGCTGCCTTCATCAGTCTGTAGGTGCTGACTTTGCTGGTAGAGTCACCACCGCAGCCACAGGGCCTCTTCTCACTTACCCACTTCCTCCCCATTCACGTTGCTCCTCTCATCAGAGACACTAAGGCCCACTGGAGCCTGCTTTGCATCTCTTACATCAGAGGTTTGGGATGGCACATTGCAAATGATCTTTGCAAACTCTTCCGTCTGTACTCTTGAAGTCTAAGCAGAGAGGCAACGAAAAAGTGGCCCAGGAGCAAAATGTCTACATTTCTAAAATGAGTCTGAAATGAAGCTCATCCGAAAATGTAGCTGGAGCCAAAGACAGCTTTCAGGGTCAAAGTTGGGCAGGATCTCATAGAGTTGCAATCCTGCAAATTTTATTTGTTTTGTTAAAAAGAGAAGGAAGTTTTTTAAAAAGCTAGATAGTACCCCCTTAGTTGGCATGGTATGAAAAATAATCTAAAAGATGTTCATCATTTTTTAAACTGCCATTGTGAACATTTTACTGGGAGGAGTGGGTTTTGTATTCCAACACAACTGTTCATGCCCCAAACTTGGGAAGGGAGAGAAGAAAACATTTTACAAAGGAAAAAATGAAATATTTGTTACCTAAAATTTTCTACTTTGACAAAAGTGAAAGTTCAATTTACAAGCTAAACAACATTCTGCTGAATCTTCAGTGCACCCCAGAACATCCTACCAGTGGCCTCAGCTCTGCCAAACTTGGTACCTTTCATCTCAGAGTCCCCAGTAAACACTAATTTCCACAACATTCTAAAGTTGGCCAAGTCATTCAAATTATAGTGATGACAGGTTGGGCGATAGGTGGCAATTTTCCTTTGTTGTCATTACCCTTCCCACATACTGGGCAACTGAGGCATGGAAGAACAGAGGTAAGATGTTGGCTTCAAGGTTCAGGACCAAATCGGTGGTGTTCCGGGAACCAAACCTTGAACATTCATGTCATCTCTGGGAAGTGGCTTTTTGATTCAGCACTGGTACTTTCCAGTGTCAGCACTTGTATGTGTCAGTAGCTAAGTCTCTCGTCCAAGGGCCCCAGGTCTTCAGCCTCTGCTTCATCTCAGGAAAGCCCTCTGGCAGTTGAAGAGAATGGGATGGGTGGGGAAGTAGGGTGAGGCCTCAGTGAGTTTGATGGTTGGGTGCTTGAATGGAAATCTAAGAGGGGAAGAAAGGCTCTGTGATTGTGATTACTGTAAGGAGAGCCGATTGGATTGGAAAGAGCTAGCAGGACGTATACTATGTCCTCCCTTGATAATGATGCATCACAGTGCCATGGCCACACCTGACTACACACTTCACTTGCCCTGCCCCCTTGGGTGTTAGGTATATCCCTTCAACTTTGGAAAGGGGCATAACATGTAGATACTGGGGTAGATTTTCCTGAGGTTTTATTTGTATCCACCTTTAATGAAAATAAACAGGACACTTATTTCTAGGTTGATAAAAATGGCCTTAGAGTATCTAAATAATTCTGTGTCAGCTGGACTTATTGTTTTTTTAAGTGGCAGAAGAGAAGGATGAACAATGTTCACTAAGTAGAAAAGGTTAGAGCAGTAGATGTTTGCTTCCTCCTATATTCTGCATGATCTCTTGCCTCGGAAAAGTGGGAGAAAAATAAACCAACACACCACCTGATGAATGTCCCACCCCACAGAGTAGTCTAACTCTGTGTCTCAGCAGGAAAAGGGGAAAGAGGAAGAGAAACTGACATTTAATGAGTGCCAACTCTATATTGGGCACTATACATAAATAGTTGAATTTAATCCTCCATTAAAAACCCCTACTATGTAGATATTATTATCCCCATTTTTAAAGATAACTCTATTCAGCTCTTGCAATTAGGAAAACATGAGACCAAAATTTAAGAGCCAGAGCTTCCTGACTCCAAAATCCTCTTTCTTTCCTGTTATCCTGCTGAAGTGCCCATTTCAAATGAAGCCCGACTTGATCCTGAACATAACCTACAAGAAGAAAAGGACCGCAGGTAGGTACTGTCTCATTACCCAACATAGTTGTTAGAACACCCTCAGTGACAGAAAGGGTGAGGATGCCAAGTGGTTGTTTACAAACGCTGTTTGGCTAAAGGATCTCATTCACTGAATGAACACGTTTCTTTCCATGGTTGGGGATGCAGGTCATGGACTGTGGAGGAAGAAACCCTATGGCTTGTTTGTTGAAAATTCGGTTAAAGTTTACCCTGAATCACTTCTCAATAAATTTACACATGCCTTAAACTAGATGGACCTTTGAAATCATGTTACTCTTACCCTTGTAATAAAAATAATAATAGGCACATTTATTGAGGGCTTATTATGTGCCAGGAGCTGTTCTTTAGGCTTTATATGTGTCATTTAACCCTCCAACAATCCTATGAGGAAGGTATTATTATTTTCTCTTTTTTACAAATGAAAGGCACAAATAGGTTAAGAAACTTGTCCAAGGTTACACAGGAGAGAAATGGCAGAACTGGGATTTGAACTTTCAAACCTGGGCACCTCTCAACTATACTTTCTGCTACCTGTCATCAGGGAAGATTGTACATAGATAGGAAGGGTGAGTTTTTTCCTGGGTGTTTGTTTCTTTACTTGGAGAAGGAGATATTTTTCTCATTTTCCATTTCTAGAATAATAGCAATCTTCTGTCACAGAAAGCACCAAATCCCTTTACCCACATTCATGTTAACCTGCTAGATAAGTCTATTCAGTACAATCTCTTAGTCCTCCTTAGTCATTACATAGCTTTATTCCTCCCTTTCCTTCTCCTCAGCTGGTCTTCGGCATCTTCCTTTTGTGTTAGGAGTGAGGGGTGATCATAGACAAGGATCTCCTTTCTCGGCAGTGGGTTACCACTCTCTGATATGGCCATTGTCCTGGACACCCAGGACAACAGGTGTGATTGAAATCAGAGAGTGGTTGAAATTCAACTTCTTAGATACAAAAGATCCCACTGTGATCACAGGCCTCACAAAGAGAAGCAGGTGGTTTACCCACACTGAACATTGTCATCGAGGTTAATGAACGCGTTCTTACATAGTCTAAATATAAGTATGTGGACCTCACTGAGGAGAGACCAGGCCCTCAAGAAAGGTCTTGGAAATCCCACCCTCTGCTGTTATGGAGAGGGGAGTAAGCCAGATGCAGCAACCTCAGCTTCTGATTTTGACTGCTGAAACTCACATCTGCCTACGCTTCATGTGTAAACAGGGTTGCAAAATTACTCACTCCACTCACATGCGTAAAGAACGTAGAGTTTCTTTTTTCTCTTAATCACCCTCATCTCCCTTATGAGTCCTCACCTGCTGGGTAGCAAGAGAGAAAAACATAATTTTAGCTCAATAGATTTTAAAACTAGTCTGATGCAATTATGTAAGCAGTTTCTTTAGGCTTAACTTTTTGACTTTGGGATAAAAGAGTGTTTCAGATTCCTTGCTTCTTCTGGTTTCTTCTCTGTAAATGGCACCAGTGGTTCTCAGACCAGGTCCCCTGGTGCCCTCCCCGTACTGCTCTGCCCTCTTAAACATGGTGGTGCAGGGCCATCTACAAAGCAGTGTCCTAACAAGGAATTTCAAAGGGAATGGGGAAAGAGCCCTCTTGTTCTTGATGTTCTTTAATCGATTTCATTCTTCAGGCAGAACACTGGAGAGGAGGCTAGGAGAAGACAACTTGCTGCCTGGCATGTGGCCACTCCCTACCTCTCACAGCACAGGCTGGAAGAGGAGGCTTGCTAGCCTCTATCACAGGCAGAGGAATATCCATTTACGCTTAAGGGAAACTCTAAAATCAGAGACTTGGTTCGTGAACTTCTAGAGACTGTAGAATATCCAGTTTGTTTTTCAAGCTGTTGTGATTAACAGTCCTGACCTGCCAAGGCATTAGGCCAGGCAGGGCCTCTGCAATGTGAGCTGAAAAAAGCGGGGTTTAGAGAGGAATGGCAATACTGTGTGTGACACTGTGAAATACATATTTGGTCTTTGTTTTAGTTTGTTCTTGTGTTGCTGTAAACACCTGAGGCTGAGTAACTTATTTTAAAAAGATGTTTTATTTTGGCTCATGGTTCTGCAGGCTATACACAAAGCATGGTGTCAGCATCTACTTCTGATGAGGGCCTCAGGAAACTTACAATCGTGATGGAAGGAGAAGAGGAAGCCAGTGCATCACATAGCAAGAAAGGGAGCAAGAGAGAAGGGGACAGTGCAACACACTTAAAAAAAAATAAGCCTTATCTCACGAGACAGAACTAACTGAGTGAGAGTTCACTAATCACCAAGGGAATGATGCTAAGTCATTCATGAGGGATCCGCCCCCATGATCCAGTCACCTCTCACCAGACCCCACCTCCAACACTGGGGATTATATTTCAGCATGAGACTTGGAGGGCACAAACATCCAAACCATATCAGTCTTCAACCCCTCTTCCTGACATACAACTCCTAAATCTCTTAGAATTTCCAGAGTGCTGTCTTTTTATGTGTTAATGAAGTGGCTAGTGGCTCACAGCCCCTAGGAAGCTTCAGGATGGGGGCTGGTCACTGGAAAGACCAAGTCATAATTAGAGGGTTGGGACTTTCAGCCCACCCCCAACCTCTGGGGAGGAGAGAGGGGCCAAAGCTCAAGTTGATCACCAGTGGCCAGGGTTTTAATTAATCATGTGGCCGGGTGCGGTGGCTCACGCCTGTAATTCCAGCACTTTGGGAGGCCAAGGCAGGCGGATCACGAGGTCAGGAGATGAAGACCATCCTGGCTAAAACAGTGAAACCCTGTCTCTACTAAAAATACAAAAAATTAGCCGGGTGTGGTGGCACACACCTGTAGTCCCAGCTACTCAGGAGGCTGAGGCAGGAGAATCACTTGAACCTGGGAGGCAGAGGTTACAGTGAGCGGAGATCGCACCACTGCACTCCAACCTGGGCAACAGAACGATACTCCGTCTCAAAAAAAGTAAAAATAATAAAATAAGTAAAAAAGAATTAATCATGCCTATGTAATTAAGCCTCCATAAAAACACAAAAGAATAGGGTTCAGAGAGCCTCTGGATAGCTGAACATCTGGAGGCTCCTAGACAGTGGCATGTCCAGAGGGCATGAAAGCTCTGTGCCCCTTTTTTGCCCTATGCATCTCATCATCTGTATGCTTGGTAATATCCTTTATGATATACCAGTTAAATGTAAGTGTTTCTCTGAGTTCCTTGAGCCACTCTAGCAAATCAATGGACCCCAAAGACAGGATCGTAGGAATCCCAACTTGCAGTCAGTTGGTCGGAAGTTCTGAGGCCCAGACTTGCGACTGGTAGGAAGTACGGGCAGCTTTGTGAGACTGAGCCCTCCCTCAACCTGTGGTTTCTGCTGCTATCGCCAGGTAGATAGTGTTGGAACAGAATTAGAGGGAGCCCAGCTGGTATCCACTGCAGAACTGCTTGCTTGCTTGATGTGTGAGGAGAAAACCCCACGCATTTGGTCACAGACGACTTCTGTGGTCACACAGACTTCTGTTCATCACAGAAGTCTTCTGTGATGATTGTTGTGGTGTGAAAGCAGAGGAGAAACACAGTTTGAATTTTTCCACTTTCATACTGTGGTTTGCTGAACATTGCTCAATGTAGGCTTGGGATGGTTGATCTGGGGTATGTAATAGAAGGTGCTTAAAAGTGCTCCTCAACAGTTTTGAAGTCTGTGAGACAAAAAAAAAGTGCTCCTCAAAGGGGAGGCAGGGTAGTGTAATGCTTAAATATACGGAATCTGGATCCAGACTGGACTCTGGTATTTCCTTGTGATGTGGACAACTTTACTTATTTGTAAACTCAGTTTCTTCATCCTAAAATGGCATAATAACAGTATCTACCTCCTAGGGTTTTTACAAAGTTTAAATCTGTTAACATATATAAAAAAGACTTTTGCCTGTCTCATAGTAAGCACTCAACAAATGTTAGCTATTTAGATTCCAAACATATATAGCATTCGATTACAAAGCTGGGAAACATCTTATGTATGGTATAGCAGAAAGAACAGGGATTTTCAAAACAGCCTAAGTTACATAATCTTGAGCAAGTTCTATGGCCACTGTGAGCCTTGTCTGAAAAAGGAGGATAATTACGTCATAGGATAGTTGTGAGAATTAAATGAAATAATATATGTGAAACACTTAGCAAAAAGTGGCACCTAACTGAGGTTCACAGTGTTTCTTCCCCTTTTTCCTGTGTCAGTAATATGCTGTCTTATGATTATTTACTATTGTGTTCTCAACCAGGAGTCTTAAGCTTTTATAATCTCCAAACCGGCTAGCACATAGTAGAAACTCAATAGCATCATTCACGGTTCAAACGAGCCTCCAAGTCTGAGGCATGAGACCTAGAATGTCTCCCCTGTTGAGTGTTGCTGGTCAGAGGACAGTTCCCACCCCTCCACCACCAACTTCAATTGTTCTAGGTGTATATTTCCCCCCTTTCTTTATGAAAATTGCTCTGTGGTCTGTCGGAGGCATTTATGTCTGCTTTACTCACATTGCTCAACCCACACTTGGAGAGAAATGTGTTTGCATAAATACTAGCAGATGATTTTTTTAAATATCGCTTTTTCTTTCCTGGCACTCTGTAAGAGAAATGAGCAAATATAAACAGAGGAGTATCACACTAGAAATATAGCAGATGGGCTTCTGCTGGGGATCTGGACTTTCCTGGAGTATACACATTTGGGATATGTAGGATTATGACAAAATCCACCTGTAATGTTCATGCTTTTTATTTCTTGGGCACAATATTAATTGCTTAAAGACTGGGCTTAATGCACACTTTCAGCCCCAATTCTCCCATTGGGAAAAAAGCAGGATCCTATAAACACTCTGTATAGTAGGGATTGTCTTCCTAAGCCTATCATAAATCCAGTTTGAGTGAGGAATCAAGGAGAAGTAAGAAAAATAAAGTTTTTCTTCTCTCCATGCTGTAATGACAGGGGAAACAAGGAAACTCTTCACTCCTCATTTCAGATAGCTTCATGCTTATGACCAAGGGTTTATTATGGATATTAAAAAATGGAAACTGACAACACATACTCCTGACATATCTTGATTTAGGCCACCTCAATTCAGACTACACATCTTGAAGAATATATTTATATGCAGGGCATTGACCGTGAGCCGTCCATAACTCCAGCCTACACCTTTGGCCCAGATAATATTTTCACTTATTTATTCATTCAACAAACTTTGTTAAGCATCTATGCTATAGACTGAATGTTTATGACCTCCTAACCCCAAATGAATATGTTGAAAGCTAATCCTGAATGTGATGATATTTAAAGGTGAGGCCTTTGGAAGGTGATTAGGTTATAAGGGTAGAGCTCTTAAGAGCAGAATTAGTGCTATTTTAAAAAGGACTCCAGTGAGCTTCCTCACCCCTTCTACCATGTGAGTACACAGTGAGAAGACTGCCATCTATGAACCAGGAAGCGGGCCCTCACCAGCCACCACCTCTCTCAGCACTGCAGATTTGGGACTTCCCAGTCTGCAGAACTGTGAGTAATAAATTTCTGATGTTCATAATCTACTCACTCTATGGCATTCTGTTATAGCAACTCAAATGGACTAAGATCATCTGCTACGGACCAAACACCGTACAAGGAATGGGACTATGGCAATGAAGAAGACAGACGTGGTCCCTGATATTATAAAACTCAAGTCTAGTGGGAAAACAGACTCTTATGTTATAATTTAACCATTCCTTTAAAAAATGCACCAAGAAGCAATCGTTTCCATTTCCATCAACCACACCATGTCCCAAGGATTGGCCTAGGACAGACTAGGAGGTGGAAGCTGTCCTGTGGCCTCCTTGTTGTCAGAGCCTCTGTATGGCCTTTCAGAACTCCAGGGAAGAGTTCCTCATCCATAGTTGACCTGGCAGTCATTTTTCCTTTTTTTCTAAAGGGCGCCTCAAAATAATGTTTTGTAACATGTAAATGATCCTGCCTACCCATAATGGTGACTCCTGGATCTCAGAGAAAGCCCTGCCTTTAATCAATAAACGTTAACTCTTTTTTTAAATTGCAAGTATGTTTATCTATTAGGTTTAACAAGGGAGGCAGCATAATGTAGAGCAAAGATCACAAACTTTGAAGTCAGCCCTATGTTCTAATGTTGGCTCAAACATTTATTAGCAAGTCCCCTTGGCAAGTTATTTTACTTTTCTGCTGTTTAATTGTCCTATGTGCAAACTGGAGAAGAGAGCACTTAACTCTGACTTGTTGAGATTCTTAAATGAAATAATCACTTAGAAGTGCTTAGTATGGAGCACATGCTCCTTTACTATGCTCAGGAACTTATTTTCTATGAAACAGGACTTGCCCTTGGGAAAAAAAAAAACAGCATTTACATGAAATACTTAATGATATTCATACAACTTTGGGCTATTTGGCAAATGATAGACTATATCCATAGCCAACTCTGCCCATCCTGACAGGTGCCAACTCTCTCTGCTTTTGCTGCCCTAACTGCAGCTCTAAACACACCTCTCCAGCAGGTAACCTAACTAGGGAAGCCCAAAATAAAGATGTCAGAATGCTCCAATAAGAAATGAGAATAAGAGACAATATGTCACTTTATGTTAAAACAAAAAAGATCCTCAGCTTTGCCATGTGTTATCCCTGTCCTTTGTTTTATTGTTTTTTTCACTCATTGAAAATGTCCTCTCTTTTCTCTAGGATACTTGAAGATGTTGAGCTGCAGATGAAGCTTGTGGGTGACATTAGACAGGGAATACACAACTAGAGGGCTGGTGACCTTACCTCAGGCAATTTCTTTGTCCTTCAAGACCCCTGTACCAGAAACTCCTATAGCCCAAGGAATCTGTACTATTTCCTGCCTCTGACTGTCCTACAGGTTCCTCCTGCAGCCTTCAGGTTGCTGGTCCAGATATTGGTAAGATTTGACACATGGCTAAGTAGTGGGGCTGATTCAAAAAGCTCTAAATTTTGTACATTAATTAAATCAAGACTTACAGTTTAACAAGCTGAATACAAATTTAATGTTCAAAACATAGTGGGGGAAGATGGGCTGATTAACTGTATTGGTTATTAGGCAACTATTAATAATGATGGTGGCATAATTGTCTATATGATAATAGTAATATATATTTAGCAAAAAGCAGCATACACAATTCCTTATATACAGAATGAGTGCAACTGTGTTACAAGAATAAGTCTATATGCCTATAAGAGAACTTGAAGGAAACAGACTGAAGTGTTAACATTTGAGGGTTGGAACTATGGCTAATATTTTTTGTTTCTACTTTTATTTTTATGACAACCATGTATTGTTTATAGTCTTAAACTATAAACTTCATTTTGAAATGAAGACTTCAGAGGCCAAGAATATGCTTCCCTGTGATGATTTTCATGAATCATTTCCAAAGAAGAGTTTCATTTATTCACCAGTGGGCTCAGTTGAGCAGAAGTCAAAATGAGCAGAGGCAGCACTTAAGAAAGTTCATGGGTTCAGAAAGTTCACGTTTATCAAGTCTTGGGTCTCGGTCTTTTTTTTTTTCTTTTTCTTTTCTCTCTCCTTCCTTCCTTCCTTCCTTCCTTCCTTCCTTCCCACCTCCCTCCCTCCCTCCCTCCCTGCCTCCCTCCCTTCCTCCCTCCCTCCCTTCCTTTCTTTCTTCAGTCCTTCCTTCTGTTTTTCGTCTATCTCTCTTGCCCAGGCTGGAGCACAGTGGCATGATCACGGCTCACTGCAGCTTTGGCCTCCTGAGCTCAAGCGATTGTCCTGCCTCAGCCTCCCAAGTAGCTGGGACTACAGGCTCACACCATCACACCCGGCTGATTCTTTTATTTTTTATTTTTTGTAGAGATGGGGTCTCACTGTGTTGCCTAGGGTGTGAATCTTTCTTTGCAGGGGCTATAGTTGTTTCTTTCTAGCTGCCAAAGCTGTGTTAGTTTTACATTTTCCCACTTCTTCTCAAGATCAAATTTGTGCTATTTCCAAGTCGTGGCATCTGTTTTTATACTTATGCGGGATAGGGGTGGGAGAACTGCAGAAGATAAAAACCAAAGGCTGACACCAGCCCCCACTGCAGGGTCAAGTGAAGCGAAACGTTGCTGGAGGCTTAAAAATCAAAATCAACTTATTTTGTTTTCCTCTGTTTGTAAGCTAGTCCCTGAACTTCCTGGTTTTGACCTAAGAGAAAACCAGACAGCTTGTGATCAAATCCTGTCACCCTCGTGATCTGAGACCACCTGCCTCAGGAGACATTTTATAATTCTTTTTTCAAAAGATTCTCCTGGAGGTCATTTCACATAAACAGTCCTGAACGCATCTTAGGCCTTGTTCTTTGCACACATGGAT